ATTTGTCCAAGGTCAAAAAGGCAGCAAAATAGCAGGACTAGGATTTGATTCCATGGTCTCTAAGTCCAAAAACAGTCATTTTCCCACTAAATCATGCTGCCTCTCAACTCTCACCTCTATGTGGATCATAGTATTATAATTGACAGATGAGCTTTAGAAATTATCTAATCTAGTCCTCTCATTTTAAAGATGAGGAAACTGGGACCCAGAGGTGTGTGGTGACTTGCCAAAGACCAAAGGTAAGTGGCAAGACTGGAATTGAAACCCAGCACTCTTCCCAATGTACCATAATACTCTGAAATTTATATCTTTAGTTTTCACCTCTTTCCCAAGTTCCAAACCTGCATTTTCAACTTCTTTCAGGGCATTTGAATGTCTCACAAGAATGTCAAATTAAACATAGCCAAACCAGAACTAATCATGTTTTCTACAAAACCAACTCTTCCTTCTGACTTCCCCATATGGCAAGGACTCCAATCACTTTGCAGCGGTTGAGTGTGTGCAATCCTCTATCAGACCCAAGAACAACAGCGGCTGTCCATCAACCCACATTGCCGTATCACCACTTGGGGCCTCATTTAGTCTAAGAGTATGATTTATTTACTCACTAGCATGGCCTCCCACTTACAATTCACCGCCCCCCCTCCATAGTATGCTGGGGCAATCACATCTCTATGCAAAGGATCATAATAGTAAGCACTTGAATTATATTAAAAGGCAATAAAATGCAATTAATGGACATGTATCTCAGAAATCACAATCATCTCAATTCTTCCATCTTCCATAGTTGCGTGAAATAAAAATTATGTGCTCAATACAAAAGTTCGGACTGTCATTAGACACAGAGAAAGGTGGTAGTCACTCACATCAGTCCATTATGGGAGAAGATAGTAGAGTACCAGAATTATCCCCTTGACTCTAAAGGCTACAGAAAGTTCACTTACTGTTCACCCATTGATTTCGATGACGGGAACTCTGTTTTTCGATAGTACACACTGAAGTCTTATTTACCTCTAAGCACTTCACTAAACTAAATCCCTGCTCTTCTCTACTCCAGGGAATAGATCATGTCCACGATAGTGACTTTCCCCTTAACCCATCTCTCTTAGTCTCTAATGACAGTCACTCACTGTCCTAGATGAGCCCTTGGGAAATCACCCTTAGATATCATTTACTCTCTGACCCCTGAAAGATGTAATATACTAGCGAAAAGGTGATTAGATCCCAGACATAGGTCTTTTATACCTACTTCTGTCAGTGACAGATAGACATAGAATCTCAAAGTTAGAAGAGATTTATTTCACAGTTTATCTAGTCCAACCCATACCTGGTCAAAAGTCTCTTTTACAATAACACTGACAAGTGGTCACCTAGCAACCACTAGAAAATCTCTAGTAATAGGAAACTCAACACCTTATATGTTAATTCCATTTAGGGGCAGGTCTAATTGTTGGCAAACTTCTTATATAGAGTTTAAATCCACCTCTCTGCAACTTTCAACCATTATTCTAAGTTCTGCCATATGGGCCCCAGAAAGCAAGTGCAATAATCACCCCACATAATAATGCCATAATAATAAAGGGCAACTAGGTGGTACAGCAGATAGAGTGCCAGGCCTGGATTCAAGAAGACTCTTCTTCTTGAGTTCAAATCCGGCCTCAGCCACTTACTAGCTGTGTGACCCTGGGAGAGTCAGTTAACCCTGTTTGTGTCAGCTTCTTCATCTGTAAAACAAGCTAGAAAAGGAAATGGCAAACCATTTCAGTATCTTTGCCAAGAAAATCCCAAATGGGGTCATGAAGAACTAGAGATAACTGAATAACAACAATGATAATGCTTCAGTTTTTTGAATACACCTATTTATTTCCCCCTAAGTCTTATCTTCTCCAGGCTAAATATTTCCAGTTCTTATAAAACATCCTCTATGAATTAAAAAAAAACCGTCTATGATACAGTGTCCAGAAACTTCATAATCCAGGTCATCCTTTCACTTAATGTGCTCTAGATTAAACAAAGGTCTTCCTAAAATGTGGTGCCCAGAACTGAACATAATATTCTAGATGTGAGTAGACCAGGACAGAGGTCAGCAGAACTAGAACTACTGCCTCTTTTGTTCTGCTCATCTTGCTTCTATGATAGTCAAATTTTCTCAGGTTTTTCTGGCCTCCAAATTTTGATCATTTTTTTTCTATTTTCTCTCCATTTGTTGCCCTGTCAGTTTTATCTTTGAGTACTCTTAGGATGATCTGATTGTCATTCCAAGGCTTTAGTAGACAATGTTTTTCTGTTTTATGAGGCAACTCACTACTCAAAACCTTCTGAGATCCTCTTCTGTAATGTTTCACAAATGTGGAATTCTAAAGCAGTGCTGTGCTTGGCTGGCATCTCCTTCCACTTAACAAAGTGATCAAGCATTTGTTGGAGTATTTATTTATTGGAGGGGAGGCATCTCTCAATGTGTGTTTGTCTTACATTGGTTAAACATCTATAGGAAATAATGATAATTAAGGTCAATGTGTATGTCATTTCCCATATGTCAGCAGCAATAGTTTATTGGAAAACATCCTATTGAAGCTTAGGATCATTAACCTAGAGCTAAAGGGACCCTAACTAGCTCAAACTCTTCATATTCTGATGAAGAAACTGAGACTTCCCTATCCCACTTTCACATTGAAATCACCGAGTATCAAAAAATCTGCTAAAATGGTATGGAAGATTTTGTTAGGTTCTCCATAGTATTTCTCTACCTCTTCAGCCCTTGATATCACACAGGAATAATTATCCTCACAGTGCATGGAACATAGTAAGAAATTAATAAATGCTTGTTGACTTATTGAATTATGGTGACCTTTTTGCCTACCATCCTCAAAAATGACAAGTTGTCATTAATCCACTATTATCATTTTTGGGGTTCAGTCATTTAACTAGTTCCAAATCCACCTGACCATACTATTCATCCCATTTCTCTCCAAAGTGCCCATGAAGATATCATGAGATACTTTGTCAAGTATCTTGCTGATATCTGGAAACACAATGTTTATGGCATGCCTTCCAGTCTAATAACTGTCGAAATAGTAAATTAGATTGGTATTATCTTTTTAATGGACCCACATTGTTTTTATAGTGATCACTGTTCACCCAAGTGCTCACAAACCCTTTGATTATGTCTTCCACTACTTCATTAGCAATCAATCAAGCTCTACATAGACCCAAGCTAATGCCTATGGACTGGAGAATCTATCTCATGAAAGACATCTTTTGAAAAAAGAGATATTTGTTCAACTCTGGTCCAACAGCAACTCAACTCTTCTCAACAGTGTCTATCAAAGATTCCTAACAGTGGCTCAGCTGTTCCATCTACAAGTTAGATCAGTACTTGGAGTGTAGTTTGTTCTGTTCTGGTGACTGTCTTGAAGACAGCTAGGTAGCTTTCTGTCACCTCACTCATCTTGGATTTTAGTTTTTGTTATTTGATTTTATTTTATATTTCCCAATCTGGAGTATCTTTGGTAGAGAAATAAGAAGCAAAACACAAATAAAGTAGTTCTCATTTTGTTCTCTCATCTATTATCATCATCCTATCCACTCAAGATAGCAATCTTATTCCTTCCTTGATTTACCTCTTATTTACAGCATGTTTAAAATTCAGTGGGGCTCTCCAACTCTTGCAGTAGCATCATCTGGCTCTATCCTTGTAATTTTATATGTATATATGCAAACATGCATATATATGTTTATATACATTATATAAATATCTATATAAACATACATACATATGTATATATATCTGATTTTCAGGGATCAACCTGTATGGGCTCCGTGAATACTTATAGTCAAATTTCAGTGAAGTTGAGCTATTACTCCTCCCCAACCACACCTCTAAAATGTAAATCCTGCAGATTTCCTGACACAGAGACTCCTTTGAGGATAGTCATGCAGGGAGGAGGTATCTGAAGGAAAGCCTGAAATTGTATGCATAGTGTGTCAGTGGTAGATAGAGCTAGGACTAGGCCAATGGACCCAAATATTCAAATTCCCTAGGCTTTATCCAAAAAAATACCTGACATATTTGGGATCTAGTTCTCACTTTGACACTAACTAGATATGTCATGGTAAATAATCTGGTATAAAAAGGAGAGCCTATGATTTTGAAAATAAAATGTGTTTCATTCTCTCCTTTAAATTACCCATCACAAAGGGGGTTTGGACTACATTTTCCTTCTTCTGAGCAATATATAAAGTCAAATCAGTGAGAGGATAGATAGGGCACCTATTCTCTCAACCATATACCATCAGGCTGCTCATCCCTGTTGTTCCTTGAGAATCTGACCTAGCAATTATATGGGGTATATGGGAGGCAGAAAGTACTGCTTATGACAAGATTTTGTTCAATATGATTAAGCAGAAGAACAGGGCTTGAAGGATTGTTGGGCAGGGTGGAGCAAGAGAGGCACAACATAATAGATATTACATATATTGTATGTAGATGCATATATATTTTTATATAGAAATATAAATATGTGTATGTTTCTTCCATAGTACCTAGCACAATATCTTTTATGCAACAGATCATCTCAGTTTTTCTTTGTTTTTCTCTGTGTCTGTCTCTGTGTTGTCTTTCAATGTCTCCATTTTTTCCTCTTTATTGTTCTCTCTCTCTCTCTCTCTCTCTCTCTCTCTCTCTCTCTCTCTCTCTCCCTCTCTCCTTCTCTACCATTCTAGTATGACCAGAAGGCAATTTTGTACATAGAAAGATGGTACACTGACTGTCTTTAGAGCATAAGAATGATTGTATATCATAGGATATTCCCCAGTAAACCCCTTCACATTTACCCAAGAGAGAAAACCTAGTGTCTCAGCAGAAATGCTACAGCTGATCCCAGCTATAAAAGACAGATGCTGCCTAAGAATACAGAATCACATTAAGCACAGCTTTCCCTCCCTCAGGGATTCAAATGTTACCTAAAAAACCAGATCGTTTTTGTTGTGGTAACACCTACCTTAAACGAAACAGCAGCTCTTACTCCCTCCTCTCCTGTGGGATGAAACAGGAAGAGCTCAAGTCTCTCTGCAGAGATGTGTCATTGCCTCTTGTTGGAAGTCCCCAGAATTTCCTTTGGGGCATTGGCTGGGTCCATGCTCAGGGACCCAGATGGCTTGAGCATCACAGTCTTCCCAATGGAGTTGTCCGACTGCCACAGCAACAGCTGTAGCAACAAAAGCCCAGGAAGCAGACAAAAGTCTCAGAAGACTACATTTAATAAACCTCACAGAAACTAGGCTTGAGCCACAGCCTCCAAAGGTTTTAGTCTATGAAACTTTTCTTTAGTGTCATGTTTATAAAGAATTCCCTTTTAGCAGCTGGGAAGTTCTCTGAAGAGAAGGAGGATTTACTTGTTTCTATCTATGAGACCTGAGAATAGCCATCTTCTGAGTGGAAAGAGACATCATCCCGTCAGAAAGCCTCTTCTTTCCAAGTAAGACTCCTCCCCTCCAAGACATCCCTGTGTTTTTCTGGAGTCCATGTTAGCAATGGTTTCTCAAACAGGTAACAAGCACACAGGTGAGTGAAGGGTAAGCAGAAGTGACTGAGGAAGCTGAGAGGCCAGAGCTGGCAAAGTAGCATGAAAGAAGGACCAAAGGAAGTTTGATGATTCATTTGATCCATGTCAGGGACTGACCAACCATATGCCCTGCCCTGGCCACCAGTAGCACCTAAAAGAATCATCAAGGTCTCTCTATTTGGGAAACCAGGACTGTGCTGTTTCCGTTTGGTCTCCCAGTCAGAAGATATGAAAACAGGCTGAAAGGCTGTTATGACAACAGGAATCCCTTGAAATAACAGTTTTCCACAAACCCTTAACTTCATATGTGCACTGTCTTGAAAAGGAAATGTTTTGTAATAGATTATGAATAGGATTATATATACATACACTCACATATTTATCCATGGTCAGGACTCTTCCTTTGTCCCCGTGTCTTTAATGCTCCCCTCTCTAACTGGCCAGCAGATGTAACTGAAGGGCTTCAGAAAAACAACTCTTATCTAGACGGCATGTTACCGAATCAAAAAACTGCTTTACCCCAGCTGTAGTTCAAACTTAGGGGAGCTGCAGCTGTCCCTTATCCTTGAAAGATACTGGTTGAGACCAGATAATCCCTTTTCTCCTCCAGAGAAGATGAGAAAGTAAGGACTGCACCAGCCCCAACACTGAGGAGGGATTTAAGAAGTTTGAGAACTCAAATATGCTTCTTTTTGACATTCTCCTTGCCTTTAGCTTTAGATCTGAAATCTAGGAACTCATACAGGAAGGGGAGAAGAGGGAATTGTTCCTTGGCTAAGATTGAGAGAGAAGGCAAAGACTAAGGTGCCAATGCCTGTTAATAAGATCATATGCTTGCATAGCATCATCTCCAATCTGACCAGAAAAGTTTATTGAGATGTCTCATGAGGTAGGGAGAGGGAAGGATTATACTCCCCATTTAAGAGATGGGGAAACTGAGGTACAGAGAGGGAAAGTGATTTGCCCCAAGTCACCCAAGGAAGTTAGAATGGAACTAAAATGTGAATCTGTCAACTTCTAATCTAGGGTGCAACTCATTAAAATTGTCCTTAAAAGGACATCCATCATTAGACACACCTAGAGGGAAAAGAAGTCTCTGCCAAGCAATCTCAAACCTTAAAAAGAAAATCAAAACCTGGCTGATAGTCTTTCATGATTCTGAAATTCACACAGAAGAGATGTGACTAATACCTCACCCTATAGAAAAACAAAAGGAGAGTTCCTAGGTGCATGGAGGATCAAAATCTTAAAAGAGAAATGAATGACAGTTACGGAGTCACAGATTTAGAGCAGGAAGGGGCCCTAGGAATCATCAAGTCCAATGCCTCATTTTATAGATGAGAAAATTGAGGCGAAGTTTTGTCCAAGGTTATCTAAGTACTAAGTGGCAGGAGGTTTGGAATCCAGGATCTCGGATGCCAAATTCAGTACTCTTTCTATATGATCTATATGGTTCATAAATGCTCATCTAACTGAACAAAAAGATTCTAACAATAGGATTGCCCATAAAGAATAATTGCTAATTTCTTAACATAGGTATTTCCTATTGCCCATGAAAAGAGAAAACAGTTGTGGAGGCTCAGAAATCTTTTCTTTGGCCACTTTACAATATCCTTGCATCTGCCAATCTGGGGGCTTAAGCCAGATGTTTGCTTTAGCAAAACATCAGAGGCATCCCCAAGTTTAAATGTCCAGGTTAGAGGGAGAACATTGAGTCTATGTGGCAGCTGTGGAGGGCTTGGAAGCATTTTGGGCGGATGAGCCAGTGAAAGCTGCTACTGTGTAGCAGTTAGGGCAATAGAGAAAACTGTACTGTGCACCAAGATGTTACAGCCTTTCAGAGGCAAAAAACTGAACCAAGGGTTATATGTGACTCCATTTCTGTGCTTCTCTGGACTTGGTGATTCCCTGGTCCCCATTCCCTTTGCATGGGAAGGCACTTGCATATAACTAATATTCGGCTTTGAGAACCAATTCTCCTGGAAGTGGAGAAACCTGGATCAGGGGTTGCATGTTTGTACCAAAACACACACACACACACACACACACACACACACACACACACACACACCATCATCATCATCATCATCATCATCATTATCATCATCATCATCATCATCCTACTGTTTTTAGATTTCCCTATATATCTTCTAAATGGTAAGGTTAGATCCTGAAATCTGTCATCCTAGTTAAACTTAGAGATGATTAGAATGTTTTAGATCCATGATGCTAAAGGCAGGGTCTTCTGAATAGATAGATGACAAAGGGCACCATATAAAAATAGTTGATTGAGTGAGTTGTTCCTGACCCTCCATCTTTGGATGGAAATTCAGCAGATGAAAACTAAGGTTGGGAGTGCCAAAGTGGTCCCAAGAGTTCTAGTTCTTTTGAGACTACAGACAAAGCATGGAAAAATCAGTCTTCAGGTAGTATAATGAGATAAGATATTCCATAGAGTTGTTAGGAAAGTAAGAATGATCAGATGACACCCCTGGAAGTGTATCATGTATCTTAAATATCAAGAGACATCCTTCTGGTCACTGGAGTCAGAGGTCCAGGCAATAGGGTTTCACAGTTCAGCCATCTATGTCACTCCAGTTAGAGGGAATGATGAAGACCTTGGTTCTAGATAGGGGGTGACTATAAAACTACTGCAGTTCTTTATTACTCCATTCCCCTCAATCCCCAACTTCTCTCTCTCAATGATCAAACTTCTGTTAGCATCCTTTTTTCTGCATAAACCCTATGTGGGGTGGAAAGGTAGCTGGGTCTCCGTTCTGGAGCAATCTCAGAGAAATCTGGTTTGCCAAGTCCCCCACCCAATCCTTTCAGGTCTGGTATAGGCTGCCCACATGTGACATGTGTATATTGGCCTTGTTCCTCTTGCTCTGTTTCACGGTGGTAAAAATAGTTGAAGTTGGAGACAATGACCGGTACTGGTAGGGCAATGGTGAGGACGCCTGCAATGGCACACAGAGATCCCACAATCTTGCCCCCTACAGTCATGGGGTACATGTCCCCATAGCCAACTGTGGTCATGGTGACCACTGCCCACCAGAAGGCATCAGGGATGCTGGAAAAGAGTGAATCATCATCGTCAGCCTCAGCAAAGTAGACAGCACTGGAGAAGAGGATAACTCCAATGAAGAGGAAGAAGATGAGGAGCCCGAGCTCCCTCATGGAGGCCTGCAACGTCTTGCCCAGGATTTGGAGACCTTTGGAGTGTCGGGAAAGTTTGAAGATGCGGAAAACTCGGACCAGGCGAATGACTCGCAGGATTGCCAGGGACATGGCCTGCTGCCCATTCTGGCTGCCACCTCCTCCAGCGCTTCCAGGCTGCTGTTCCTGCTGTTGCACCAACTCTGTGCCCAAGGTGATAAAGTAAGGGAAGATGGCCACTAAATCTATGATGTTCATGATGTTGCGGAAGAAGGCTGGCTTGCTTGGGCAGGCAGAGAAACGAACCAGCAGCTCAAAGGTGAACCACACTATGCAGAGGGTCTCTACCAGAAAAAAAGGGTCTGTGAAGAAAGAGCCAGACTCTGGAGGACCCCCAAGTGGGATCAGTTGGGATGATGGTCCAGGTCCTGATACAACTCCTCCCTGGACAATGACACTGGGATTTAACAGCTTATATACTGAGTGGTCTCCCTCATCTTCTTCCTGACTCCCTCTGGGGGCTGGGCCACCTGAATGTACCCTCCCACCATCACTTCTGCTTCTGGGGTCTGGCCGGAACTGGGGCAGGGTTTCCAGGCAGAAGATAACTATGGAGATGAGAATGACCAGTACGGAGACAATGGCGATGCCCCTAGCTGGGCCTGAGCTTTCAGGATATTCAAAGAGGAGCCAGACCTGACGTTTGAAGGGCTGCGAAGGCAAGGGCTTCTGGTGCTCACCACCCTCTGGAAGGCAGCCCTCATCCTCCCGGAAAGCCTCCAGGGCCTCCTCACCCAGCTGGTAGAAGCGGATCTCCTCCAGGAAGATATCCAGAGGCACGTTGACGGGCCTCCGTAGCCGGCCCCCAGACTGGTAGTAGTACAGGATGGCGTCGAAGCTGGGTCGGTTGCGATCAAAGAAGTACTCATTGCGCAAGGGGTCAAAGAAGCGGACTCGGCGCCCGGGGTCTCCCAAAAGTGTGTCAGGAAACAGAGACAGAGTGCGCAATTGTGTCTCAAATCGCAGCCCCGAGATGTTGATCACCAGGCGCTCACTGCTGCAGCAGCCACCGCCACCTCCAGCAGCCCCGGGGAAGTCTCCTCCACCCTGCTGCTCCTCTTCGGGTCCCCGGACCTCCCCGTGAGCCGCCTGCGCCAAGGTTGTCTCCTCCCGCATACCGCCTGCTACGCTGTGCGCCCTTCCACAAGGCGTCCACTCCCCGTATGCGGGTCTGGCTTACCAGATTTCGTTGAGTGGAGCTCCCTGCTTCTTTCTTCCTAGGGTGCGGCTCCTGATCCCCTTTCTCTTTGATCTTGACCTAGCTGTCTATGCGCTCTCATTCCTTGGAAGCGTATGTGGGGATGCACTAATAGAGGTACCTGGATCCACATCCCGCGATGTCTGGAATTGGATGCCCAGGTCAATGCCTGGCTTCGCGTTTTAGGATTTCTTCGATCTGGGCGGTAGGGCTCTTAGGTCTCTCTCTGGTTGGTTTAGCACTTCCCAGCGCCCACTGGGAGTTGCTCCAGAATCCACACTGATGCTCGGTACCGAAGCGCAAGATGCACCTCCCTCTCCAGCAGCTGTGGCTTCTGCCTCTGCCTGTAGCCTACCGCACGACCTGCGTCTGGCTGAGGTCGCTGCCAACGACGTAGCCTCTCCTTGCGCTCTTCCCATGGGCTCCGAATGGACCAGTGTATCCGAAGCGAAAAACCCTTCTCTGGAGCTCCGGAGCTCAGGGACCGTACTCCCCAATGCTCTAGCTTCCGCTGCTGTCACTGCAGCTGCTGCAGCATGGCTCTGCCCTTCCTCTCTCACTACACTCTCGAAGTGACGCGTTAGGCCCCGCCTTCTGCCCCCTCCCATCCCACTCCCACAGCACACCCCTAAACCAGCCAAGGACTGCCTACTAGTTAGTGCTGAGTAGAAGGACACAAGGACATGCAGACACACCTCCTTCCTGAGCCAACATTCTCACGTAACCTGACACGCCCCCTTCTCCTTACTCCTCGGATAAACACCCAACATCACACCTCCACCCTTCAATCTACAGCCTCTTCTTTCCTTCTTGCGACTCTTTACAAAATCACCCCAGCGTGATTCGTAGAATACGGAATGGCAGCGTTGAAAGAGACGGCAGAGGCATCTGAATACCCCATTGCTGGGCAGGGAGGGCCTAAGCTACAGGCAGTTTGCTCAGAAAAACAGTGATGGAGGTGGGACATCTTCCACCAAAGGGTTTGCCTTGAATCAGTTCTGAGAAGGCTTAGAAATTGTCACATATGGGTAGCAGCTCCTGTGAAGGAAAAAACAAAACAAAACAAAACAGCCAATAATGATTTCCCACTCACTCTCCGGAGATAGAATAGATCCTGGAAAAATAAACACCTGTTCCCTAATACACTCTGATTTGGAATACTTCTGAAGCGACAACTGGACTCACCACCTGAAAGGAGAGCCAGGCCAGGTGGGGAAGCTTGGCAAGCAGAACAAAGGAGCAGTTTGCTTGTAGGTAACGCTCCTTTAAATTAAGTTTCTGTAGTAGTTCAGTAATTTTTTTTTCAGTCCTGTCCTACTCTTTCTAACCCCATTTGGAGTTTTCTTGGCAAAGATACTGGAGTGGTTTGCCATTTCCTTCTCCAGTTCATTTTACAGATGAGGAAACTGAGGCAAAAAGGATTAAGTGACTTGCCCAGGGTCACATAGCTAGTAAATATCTGGGGCTGGATTTCAACTCAGGTGCTCCTGACTCCTGGTCCAGTGTCCTATCCACTGCACCACCTAGCTGTCCTGAGGTTCTTTAAAAGCAGGATAAATTTGCAATGAGTTACCTGTTGTTAACAAGGGTTAGAAGGAAATGGCAAACCACTCCATTACCTTTGCCAAGAAAACCTCAGATTGGGTCAGGAAGAGTCAGACACAACTGAACAATGACAAAGACCTGTTGTACCTTCCTCAAAACTGTCAGGGAGGAGGTAGGGACAATCTTCCAAAACTTTCTGAAAAGGATTGCATGCATATTGTCTTTTGTCACAGGAATGAAATGGAAGCAAGTTCTCCAACTGGAGTAAAGAGAACCTGGCCTTGAGTCCTGACCCTGACATTTACTGCAGTAGCTGTGTAACCTCAGGCAAGTCACTTAACTTCATTTTCCTAACCTATAAATAATAGCCCATTGTACCTACAGTTATTTTGGGGATAAAATGAGATAAAATATATACAGTGCTTTCCACTTAATAGAAGCACTATATAAATGACAGTTATCATTACTATACTTATTTGGAACATTTTTCAGGAAATCTGGCTTCTTCTGGCTCTCCCTTTGGGTGGTCAAGTGGTCTTCACTTCCTGGTGCTTCAGTCTGGCCTCTTGGGCTGTTGATAAGTTAATGTCTATAAAGTGCCAAACAGTGAATTTGTCTGTTGCATTTTGAATGTTAGACATTTATGATTGCTAATAATGAAGAAAGGTGTTATGTAACCATCAATTACATTTAAGAGCCCTTTGTGTTGGCAAAGTGTTTTAAAAGCAAAGGAGTTCTTAGCAACATACCTCTGTGTTCCTTCCTACCAAAGAGTTGAGAGGAGCTGAATGTGACAGGAAATGACAGAGAAATTAGATTAGGTGTTCATTCAAGGTAGAAAGGGATTGGGATTAGAACTCATAATAACCACAACCAACTTGTCTCTCACCAAGACTACATTGCTACACCAGCCCATCCTTTCTTCCCTTTTCACTCCCCATATGTTTTCTAATCCCTTTATGTTGTATGTTTCAGTAAAGAATAGACGCCAATTTTTTGGTCATTTTCCTACATACGTGACTAAGTAGTTAAACAATGCAGATGCCACATAGTAAGTCCTGAAGCAGATCAATTTGCCTTTTTTTATTTTTTAATTTATGGAATAAAACAAGCATTTTCATAATATAATTAGAAAGATGCACATGAAACTACAAATCTGTTATGTACAACTTGCTATTCCTCTTAAATATATAATAAAGTTATCATGTAAATTTCTTTTTTTTCCTTCTTCCCTCCCTCCCACCCTTAGAGATGGCTACCATTAGACACAAATATATATATAAAATCATCCTGTACATACTTCCATTTATCAGTTCTTTCTGCAGATGTGCCTTCCTTCATAGGTCCTTTGTAGTTAATTTGGGTATTTATAATAGTCAAAATGACTTATTCATTCAAAGTTGTTCTTAAAACAATATTACTGTAAATAAAAAAGGGAACAAAGAACATACTCTTTGCATCCATGGTCACCTTCTCAGAAATGCAATTATTGATGTACAAAGATAAGGAATCATCCCCTGGCTGGCAAATTTGTTTGGCCAGTGTTCATTGTTTTTCACAACTGATAATAAATTATTCATTTATGTATCCATTTTTTTAATCAGTGCTATGTTTTATTCATAAGACTGCTTACTCACTGTTCAGGAATTCTTTAAAAGCAGTATTTGGAAGCCCTGGGGTACACAGTTCTTCTAGAAGAGAAAATACAATAACTACTATTTGTGTGTTACACATGCAGCATTTTTTTAGATTTGGAGATAATAAAATTGCTGACATTTACATAGAACTTTAAGGTATGCAAAATGCTTTATGTACATTATATCATTTGATCTTCACTACAACTTTTGGAGGTAGGTACTATAACTATTATTCCCATTTTACAGATGAAGAAATTTAAGTTCAAAAAGTTTAAACGACTTGCTTATGATGACCCAGCTAGTAAGTGAGGAAGGCAGGATACGAACCCAGGTTCTCTTGATTCCAGATCTCATATACCATCTATGACACCACACAATCTCTCTTCTAGTTTCAAACCCCTCATTTCACAGATGAGTAAAACAGAGATATGGTGAGGTAAAGTGATTGCCTTCAGATCGCAGAGGGTGTAAGAATCAAGTTTTTGTTGAAGAGATCACCTTTCCTCCTCTCCACCACCCCCAAGTTCTTTTTTAGCACCTCAGTGAAAGGAAGAAAAAGTGTATATTATTACGAAGGAGGAGGAAGAAAAGCATAAGGAGGAAGAAGAGAAAGAAGAAGAGGAAAAGGTGAGCAATGTTCCAACTCAAAATCTGGCTTCCAATCCCACAGTTCAACTGAAATCTCTCTCATCACGGTTAACATTGATCTCTTAGCTAAACATGATGGCTTTTTCTCTGATTCGCCCATTTCTTTTGCCTGTCTGCAGCATTTGTTACTGTTGACCAATCCCTCCTCACAAGTGGTCTCTTCTGGGTGTTCATGATACTGTTTTCTGCTAGTTCTCCTACTTGTCTAGTTACTCCTTCCCATAATCACTCATATTCTAGACTTTAACTCCAGGACTTTGTCTTCTCTTCTCTTCTTTTCTCTTCTCTCCTCTCCTCTTCCCCATCCCATCCCTTCTCTCTCCTCTTCTCTTCTCATCACCTCCCATAGATACAACTACAGTCTTTAAACAGATGACTTATAAATCCACGTGTCCAGCTAACATCTCTCCCTGAAGCTCCAGTACTCCATTGCCAGCTGCCTGCTGGATATCTCTGCCTGGTTATCCAACAGGTATTACAAATTCAACATGCCTAAAGCATAATTCATATCCTTCCCCCCACCCCAAACTCAGTCCTCTTATTAACTTCCCATATTTCAGTCTAAAGTACTACAATCTTTCCAGTCACCCAAGATAATGACCTTAAGGTTATCTTCAATTCTTCCCTCTCTTTCACCATCCTGATCACAATACATCTCCCAATTCAGCTATTATAAAGACTCTGGTCTTGACACAACTCTGTCCAGACAATAACATTGTAGTTTAACAGATTTATAGAGACTTATTCTTGGCTCTCTCTAGGGATTCATTCTCCCAGCTATCCTCCCACCATTACTTTTACTAGTTTGGAACTGAGATGTATTTTCTGGGGGGAAAAAGATGAAGATGATGATAGAAATAAGGAAAACAAATCCTGAGGTGATAATGATGCCAGTGGCTGGGTCCAAGCTTGAAATCTGTCTTCAGGTTATTCCAAGATGAGCTTGATCTGATATACCCTAATTTAGGCTCTCATCCCCTCACCCTTCATCTGGACTACTGAAATAACCTCCTATTTGATCTCCTTGCCTCCAGTCTCTCCCCTCTCCAACCTAGCCTCTACACAGGAGTCAACGTAGTATTCCTAAAGCATGTCTGACCCTATCACTCCCTTGC